CCCCGGCCCGGCCCCGCCGCCCCCGCGCCGACCCTGCGGGTCCCGACAGCTGCGGCGGCGGGCGGCTGGGCGAGGGAGTTTCGCGGGCTGCGAAGTTTTCTTTGGGGAACAGTTTATTTCACAACTTACAGGAAGTAGGGAAAAAAAGAAGCGGTGCTTCTTAGTGCGCGAGCCTTTTGTGGGAGGGACGGTGTGTGTGAGGCTGCGGGCGGCGCGTTTGCACGAGGCGCTGCCGGGTCGGGGCGGACAGGTTTCAGAGCGGGAGATGCTCCGGGAACGGCGCGGTGCGGGCTGATGGCGGGCGACGCTGTGGGCTCGGGAGGCCCGGGCTTGGCGCGAGGACGAGGGACTCGGCTGCTGCGGAGCAGCTGCCGTCGGTGGCCCTGCCCGGAAGCAGGGCGGATGTGTGGGCAGAGCAAATTGGATTACCGCGTTGTCAGTGAGTTGACTGCAGGGAGACGGACTCTAGGATTTCAGGCTTTGTATTGGTGGGCACGGTTAGTTCCAGAGACAGTTCTCAACCCTGCGTTGCCTGTCCTAGGTGAGGTGCTGACAGTGTAGAGAAGCTGGATTGTCAAGTTTTTACCCAAGTTCAGTTAAGGTCAGGCAAATTCCTAAAACATCAGGACTGTTTATTATTTCATGGTTCAGGGCCTGAACGCCTGGCTCTGGATGCTAGGCAAGAGCTGAAAAGTGGTAGATGAAACTAAGTTGTCTGTGATTTCTTCCATTATTTTGAAGCCTTGAAAGTTGTGGAAAAGGAATTATTTTATAATAGACAGAATTGTTAGAAAGCACCACTTTGAACATTGAAACTAGACTGATACTGTGTGCTAGAGTAACATGCATTTTCAGTATGCTGCCTCAGGTACTTTGTGACAGCTTTCAGTGAATTTGCTTGGCGAGCTCATTCTAACAAGCTTACATAGCTTGAAATTTACAAACTAGAGACTTAGATTTTTAAATTTTATTTATTTTTGTCTTTTAGGGAAGGGTCTACAGGGTGTTTAGGGTCTCACTACTAGATCGGACTCGTAGTGATCCGCCTGTTTACAGCCTCCCAAGAGCTGGGATTATAGGTGAGCGCCACTACACCCAGTCTCAATCGCCATCTCAGTGTGCACTGGGGGCGGATCGGCACGGGATTGAACCGCTTGCAGGCACTTTAATCCGCTGAGTTGTTTGGCGGGTCCTAGGACTTTAGTTTTAAAAAAAATATTTAATAGAACTAAGTTTGATGTGTCGGGAGTTGAGTCAGCTGAACTGCCTACACTTACAGGTAGTCTGCGCAGTGTCACTTCTCATGTTAAATGTACATCTAAGCTAAATCTAAAGGTGCGTTAGTTTTTGTGAACGTGGTGAAAGTGTGAACAATCTGGAGAACGTGGGCTGAGGTTTTACTCTAGTTTGGTTAAGGTCAGTCAGGTAAATTACTAAAACATCAGGACTTATTTTGTGGTCGGGGCTCTGTGGATGCTGGGCAGGTGCTGAAGCACTGAGCGGCATATTCAGTCCCAAGGTTCTCATTTTAGATGAAACCATCTAAAGTAAAACCGGGTGAATGGTACATACCTGTAATAATTGTAATCCTAGCACACTAGAGGCTGAGGCAGGCCAGTTGGGGCTACAGGAGTTCAAGGCCAGCCTGAACTGTCTAGTGAGTGAGTCCTTGCCTCAAAAAATAGCAAACAGAAGCAAACATGTAGCCACTTACAGCACCCTTATGGAAATCTGAGATTTATTTATTTATTTATTTATTTTTTGCTACTGGAAATAGAGTAGCGATCTTTCACCTGTCTTTAGGTACAGATCATTTGGTCAAGGTCCAAATGGCAGCAGTAATTAGACTAGAAATTATCTCTTGGTGTACAAATGGTCTCTAGGTAAGGAAGGGTAAGAGTCCAGTCCAGATAGTGGACGAAGTAGGGACTAGAACTGTGGAATGAAATATTTTCCACTTCACTGTAGAACTCTAGTCATTGGAGTCTTAACTGTTTTGGATATCTATTACCTAAAAGATTAGAATTACTATTTCCTTTTTCATTTAAAAACATGAGGAATAGGTTTATAGCCAAT